TCGCATTTTTTCACAAAAAACGCGCGCGCGCACGCACTTTTGCTCAGATTCCTTCAAAACCAAAAAATGCACGTAATATACATAATTCTGAGTTTGCATGCAAAAAATCAGCCTCCTACGACAATTCTAAGTTATGTTTAAACACTGTTTAAATTTTCCGGAGAGTAATACGTTTTGTGGCCCCCCCCCCCTTTAAATACAAAATTCCTCTTCATTGTATTGATATAATCATCTACCACTGTATAAAAAAAGGATTTATTTACTTGAGGTCAGGGGTGAATATCTTCTCGAAAAACACAAGGGGGGGGGGTAATTCTTATAAATTTATAGTATACAGTACATCCCTGTTTCAGGTTAAAGAAGACAGTTGTCTATTAGACTTTTTAAAACAAAATCAGCATTTTCATTCTTATTTTTTTCCTTTCATTGTTAATTTGTCATCATGTCGGGGTTTAGCGTATTAGATTACCTTTCAGCAACTGGTCAGTGGTCACCCATCACGGAAGGCTTTTGTCAGTATCAGCAGAGATTGGCATCTATCTTTTCTTGTTCCTTCATGGTTTTTTACTTTTAACGTTTCCTTAAATATATATGCTAGAAAATATACGGCTGATTTGTTTGTTGTCGTCAAAACGGCTAAACCTATTGCCCATAATTTTTTTCACGTGATCTCAGGGAAGGTTATGGCTTGTAAATATGTAATTAATGTTCCTAGACGATTGTCAAATAGTGATCAACGTGAACAGAAATCTGTGAAATTTTAGTTGATGATGGCGTTAAGAACAAAGTTAGAACTGAAAATCCCAGTATTTAAATTGAATTTTTAGTTATATTTGCTTTTATTTGAAAAAGAAATTAACTAATCGTTATGATTTTTTCGCAAACTTTAAAACTTTAAACCTTTTAAATTAAGAAGCAAGAAACTTTTTGGTTTTGGTACTTTAAAGAAAAATGAACCAGCTTTTGTTTTTGTTGCAGATTGTGTCAACGAATCCAAGAATACTCAAAATAAAAACTCTTGCCAAGAAGAAATCTCTCAATGCGTTGAATACTCAGATGAAACTCTTCATCGTCTAGAAATCTCCGAAATCTCCGGAAACCCCGGTCAGCATTCTAACCTTACCGGAGAAGATGAGAATGCTAGAAGAACGTCCAAGACTGTTTTGTTGGAAGGATCTTCACTCTCACAGGTTGAGTTCTCCAGAGCCGTTGAAATCTCCGAGTTTGAAATCAGCCTCGTTCGTGAGGAGGCTGTTGGAGAAGGTCAGGAGGTTGAAGGGGATGAACATGAAGAAGAAGAAGATCGTCAGGGGATTCATTCTATCGCCGATCTAACTCCAATAAAGCTCTAATACTTTACAAAGTTCTCTCTATTTACGTCCACTAACTGTTAGAAATCTATGTAAATAATCAAATTTTGTTAAGTTTACGAAACATGTTCATTTTTTGCAATTACGGGCAATATAGAAACCTTGAGTACTAACAGCGCGTTTCCGTTTTTGAAGTTCTTATTCCGATTTCAAAGAAATTGGAGCAGACCAGATTGGATAATGATCAATAGTACAAAAATGCTCCAGAAGAAGACCTAATCCGCCATGAGGATTGATTTCTATATGTACATTACGGCCCACCCTGTATTGCATCTACATTAATTTTATTTATCTATTAATATTAATATCTATTTTATGGCAAAATTTCAAGATTCTCCATGCTGGACACGAGCACTGTCAGCCGTAGTACCTTTGAATTTCCGAGCTGGGTCAACCTTTCCAGTCCCAGTTTGTACTGTACAGTGTACCTAGCTCTATGGACAGGACTGGCCGGTGCAACAAGGTTGACGCGGTCAGTCTTTATGCTTCATGTAGGTTGAATTTACTTACCAAAGGGGCAGATTTGATTTGCGTGCGGGGCTAAATGCTTAAAGACGTTACGAAGATCATTACTTACCTAAGATTTATTTTATTTTATTTGAGGGTTTTAAGTTTAGATTTATAAGGTTGAGAGGCATCATTTTTTCTATTTTTTTTTTCTAAGCATGAATACCTCATTGTTTTACTATTCCGTTGTTAATATATATGTATTACATGCAGTGCTATGTTTATTTGCCGTAAAATACGTAAAATTTGCGTGCATTGTTCTTAATTGTTAATATTTGCCTAAGTATTCAAACTATTCAAAATTGTGATCGTTCAAGTAGTTACTTGCTAACATTTAACATCAATATTTCAAATCAAATTGTAAATGCTTTGTTCTAAAATGAATTAATTATAATAAATAAATTTGTTCAGTGTTAATATTTAAGTATATGTATAGTTTTACATCATTGATACACCGACAAAGACGTGAAACTTTAGAATACGTCGATCTAAAGATTGAATTTGGACTTAAACGGACTGTAAGCGTTATTTCAAGTGGCACCTCAATGCAAGGGAATGCCCGAATGTCCACTGCGTATAGTACAGTCTGCAGAGTTCAACGCAGCGCACAGCGGAGTTTGCAGCTGATCATACAAGCGGATTTAGATACGTGTACACACATATTTCTGTACTGGACGAACACAGAAAGGTTCTATGGGTTCCATTGTAAATCAGGCATTCCCCTCTTTGCATGGAGGGTCATTAAAATTACGCTTACACTCCTTTTAATTTCTAAGGTACATTCGATCAAGGATGTAATGCAAGGAAAGTTATTTCAGAAGTGTACGCATCTTTTGTACTCCAGTGTACTGTCTCTGGACGGAATGTAAACACAAGACGGATGTCGAAGCCTGACATGGGATCATCTTTCACATAAAAAATCAATGAAATATTCTGGTCATTGGAAACTATTATGTGAATTATAAAAATTTAATGCTTTTAACCTCATCGGATGCTAAACGAATACTGATGCATCTATTCTTGTTTACAAATTCCACCAAGAGAGAACTGGTTTCAATATGTTTGCAGAGTATACGCGACAGCAATTAACTTTCCTTGCATTACACCCTTGCATTCGATGATCTGACACAGATTGAATATATCTATGTACAAAAAACATCAAAATCCCGTCCCCATAGTATTGTTATTTGCCAATTGTTTTGAATAATTTTTTTCAATTGACAAAACTTCCAAGATTCCAATTTTATTATCGTAAAGTTCTTTTCAATATCTTTATCTTTTTGGATAGTTTTTTGTATTTATCTTCTGACAGGGTGAAAATTAGATATAGTGTAAGCAAAGCAAATCAACTTTTGTCCTCATAAAAAATTTTCATTTTTTCTTTTTGATTTGAATTATTTACTTGTGCTTATTATTCCATTTTAAGTCGAGATCTATTTATATGGTAAATTAGTGGTAAAATACGCTCAACACAATTAATACTAAATATACATTCATGTCAAAATATTAAATAGTATAGACAGGCAAAATAACTATTTATAACATTCATATTTATTTTTGACTTAATTTCAAATGATTATGATAATTAAGAACGAAATGTGAGGTTTGCCAAATTATTGTAATTTATAATGATAATAAGCATGAACTGGTAGAGTTGCGATCTTTTTGCTCCTAAAAGTTAAAACCCTAATCTTAAAAATAAAGAAATTATTGAAATGGTCCTTAACATCCTGATTACTTTGGTTCTAAAAGTCTGAATAATTATCGTATGCTCTTAATTTTTCTCAAACTCATTACCCATTAAATAAAGTATTGAAATGTTACATTTTAAACAATTTCAATTTAAAAGTTTCTTACAAAGAGAATTTCAAACTAAATTGTTGGCGTTCATTTTGACACTGACGGGAGTGAAAAACAATTGATTTCCCTGGTTCATAGTTCCAAAGAAAAAATATTAAATTCTATTTCTTAAATAATTCAGTAAATGTTCATGACCTGGCTCTGAATTCATTTTTTCAGGGCGGATCCATCAAAATTAAAGGGATTCTGGATTGCAGAGACATCATTGGAATTTGCTGGGTAAGGTAGGAAGTCATAGTGTTTACTGTTTGTTTATTTACAATAAAACAATTATCAATAAGTCCAAGGAAATATGTCACTGTTAGTTGGTTAGATTAAAGCTCCTTCCTCATATTCGATTTATCCAATGAATTCGGTTGTTGAGTTTAAGGAGGACCCGGGTTTCACGAATGGGGTTAGGCAGTTTTGTGAATATCAATATTTTTGTGAAGAAATGTTATTTTATTTGTTTACTTCATATTCTCGATTTTTTCTAATCTCTTTAATCAAAATCTACCAAAGGTAGACCCCAAAAGGAAATTCGGGAGTTTCGTTCAACAATACTCTTTTAAATTTCGGACTCTGTACTCACTGCACTCAGTGTACATTGAATTACTGAACTATGAGTTCTGACGGTGTTCAGTACATACAATGTACATATGTAACATTAAACAGTGGAAATTCACACAAAAAAACAATAGTTTAAAGTTACACTGATGTTGTACGTGTGTATGTACAGAGCCCGAATTTTCCCATCTGTAATTTTTGCAAACATATACTCACGGTGAAAAACGACCCATCTCGGCGAAAAAAAAAATAGAAAACATAGTAAAATTAGATAATGTGCTGACACATACAATTTGGGTGACATCTAGCAGTCAAACACTACAGAGTATGAAGACAAATAAAGTAAGTCTTAAATATGCCGTTAAGTTGGGATTGGGAAAATTCGGGCTCAGTGTACACATTTTTTTTTAATGACAATGAACGAAGAAAAATAGTAGTGACATTTCACGGAAAGTTGTACAGTGTACACAGGCATTTCTCAACCAGGCTTAGCTCCCCGGTTCTAAAAACAGACATTTCAAATCTCAACTCGTATAATTCAACAAGTAGAGCCAAGCTATCTTTCAATCTATATTCGATTCTGTTGCCAATTATCAAGGGCAAGATCTCCACTCGTATGTTTCAATGAGATCACAAGCTTTCTTTCAAGCTATATCAGATCAGATTGCTAATTATCCAGGCAAGATCTCCACTTGTATGTGTCAACAAGATAACAAGCTATCTTTCAAGCTTTATTCGAGTTAATGCTAAATCAACTAGCAATGATCTCTGCTCATATGCTTCAACGAGAACCAAAGCTTTGTTCCACGCTTATGACTTTAAATAGTTCAATGAACATGATACACGGCAATTATGTAGTGTATACTATATGTACTGTATACAGACCAATTTAAAAGTGATCTTATAAGTTACTATTTAACCTATTTTCTTTTTAACAACATAAAATAGACTTAAGGATTTCTATATATGTCTTTTTCCTTTCCACAGTTTTCTGTAGATGAAATTATTTTGAGACATGGCAGTCAGTATTTATATTTCATGATAATTCACAGTAGTTTTACATTAACTACAGCTAAACCAGGCGCACATTCTATTATTATGTAGATAGTATTTCTTACTGGTTTTATCTTTTACATAAGTTTAAGACTTTTTTCAGGAACCTTTTTTCCAGAAAATTCCGGAACGATTTTTCCGTAAACCGGAATTTTCCGGAACGTTCCGTAATTCTGGAACAAAATTTCGGAAATTTCCGATTTACGGGGAAAAAATCGTTCCGGATTTCCGTAACCTTTTCCATAATGGAAATGGAAAAGATTTCCGGATCTTTTCCATAAGTAAACCGTTACCCGGAATCATGGTGGAAACCCTACTTAACACCCTCTGTACACTGTTACAGTGTACATTAAGGAGTTTAGTTTAAATCAGCATTCATGTCACTCAGCTAACTTAAGCCAAACGTCAATCACTAGTCAACTTTCCATCCCCTGCAGATTTACAGATACAGAACAGAGATTAGAATAGAAGGAAAGTAAGATAGTTTTCAAAGTTCTAAGTGTACTATTCATGTAATTAATCACCAACTATATGCTGTACATCACAATAATACAGTATGATCCCTGGACATATCTGTTACAATTTCTTCTTTTATATAGTTTATGCTGGAATAAACTTGGGAATGTTTAGTAAAGCTTATGTTGAGATGAACTCAGGAATGCATGACAGGTTATCAGAGAATTGATTTAGAGAAAATTATAAAATTTTCAAGAATTTTTGTTCTATACCAGAAGGTGATATAGCAGAAATGTGTGAAGAATACCTGTAGTGTGTAAACAGTACAACAAATGGCGGTTTTGACCTTTTTTTTACTTTATTCCTCGCTATGCCTATCTATATCTCTTTGTTTACAGATCAATTTACAAATATTTTCTTTATTCAAAATATTTCAGAAGAATGGGTCAACTTAGTTCCAGATTGCCTGGTGCAGATAAAAATGCTAGAAGAGAAGCTTTGAAAACATTTAAAGGAAAAGTTTCAAGTTCAAAGTTCTTTAGTCAATACAGCATTTTAACTAAAGCAAGTTAAAACAATATTTATAATTTGTCAGAGATTTATTACGTAATGAATAATTATTATGGACTAGACAAAAAAGTGCCCTTTGAACAGAATTGACCTGAAAAAGATGAGCTCTGGAGATTCAAATATTTTTACAACGTTTTTTCTTACACACTTGTGTATTTTTTAATTGAAGGGAAAGCCTCATCAAATTTTATATCATTGTCCACCTAACATCTTATTTTCACAATTCTAACACTTAATCGCTTAAAATTAAAGTTTTCGTGATAGAGTTCAGCTGTTGCAGATTAGCGCCATCCTAAAAATTTGTTTAGACCTCTGATATTTTGAACGGTCATTTGTTTTAGTTTTTAATCCAAAATCCCACCAATTTTGCTAAAAAAGATTTCAATGTTATCACAACAAATAAAAACCTTTGAAAAATATAGATTTTAGATTTTTTATGTAAGATTTGACTATCTAAGTAACTAAATATAGCTACCACTTAACAACTATAAACTTATATTCTATAGATGATCTGTATACTGGAGCTCAAGTTCAAACATCTCTGCTATGTACACAATGTGCTGACACACTAGGTAAAGGCTCTATTTGTAGTTTAATTTAATAATTTATGTTTTATTTGATACTGTTTTCTTATTAGACATTTATAACGCCATTTTTAATATTGATAAAATTATATTTTGATTTTGTAATTTTAGATATAAGTCTTGAATTTCTTCCTTTATCTGATCTTCTCGCGCTCTCCTGTACATGTAAAACTTTGTACATAGCAGTATTAGCGTACATAAAGGTACCTTATTTTTTCTATAAATTGTTTTAGGGAAATATTTTAAACAAACATATTAAATAAAGCTTTCAACTTGAATCATAAATTTGTTTTTTTTAGAAAATATTAACTATTGACAGTTATTCATCTTGAAGTTTTTACCAAGAAATGCAATTTTTCTTTAATCTTTTTCCTTTTTGTTGAACAACGTTTTAAAGTTGAACACATAATTTTGAAATATTTAAAAATTTTAATTTCTAAATACAAATTATACTTTTTTTTCTGACCATCATAGCATATCTGCAATAAATCTGGATTAGAGGAGGCCTACAGCAAGTTCTTGGATAAAAACAAAGAACTTCTTACCCTTGTTGAGCAAGGTGCAGGTGTTCTAGGGGAACTTCAAGGTCTAGGTAATTTTTGATTTGATTACCATGATTTTTTAACTTCAAAATTAATTGGAAAGAGTTGTGCATTTTTGATATCTTTAAAGAATCCATCTGAAACCGAAGCAGAAATTTAATCCATCTGGTTTTTGATTGTCAAAAGTAAGGTAATTCTTTTCTTGACAAAGCTGAGCTAGATCATTTTGAAAATGGAATAAATAAAACTAAAGATCCAATAAGATCAAATGTATTTAACCACAAACTCCATGAAGAGGGGGGGGGGGCACCATGAGTCTACATTATGGGATGAGGGAGGAGGGGGAGAATAAAGAGGACAGAGAACTAATGATTGTCTTCTGGAGACTACTCAAGACTTCAGAGAGTAATACAGAGGGGTGCATTATAATATTTAGTCCTTGAATTCGGATTTGGACCAAAGTAGGCTACAAAGGGGACATGTTTACTTAAAATAAGAGTATGTAGAACTGAACCTGAAAGGATAAATTCAAGAAATGAAGATCAAGATGAAGATAAAAAATCTCCGAACAAAAAAAACTTTAATCCAGGAATCATTCAATCTCCATCGTTCAACTCGAGCAGATTTAATCCTGGATATAAATTTCTGTTTATTAAATAAATAATAAATAAATTATTCATATACTTGTTCTTAATCTCTCAAAGAAATTAAAGGGTCAGTGGGGGGTGGGGGAGGGTAAAAACATTTTGCCACTTTGCGCACAATTATCCATAATCTTTATTTAAGTAATCTTATATCTGGTAAAGTATATTATCAATTGAATTATGAAGCTAAATCATTTCATGAAAAAACAATTATTATTATGCTTGTTTTAATATTATTATTGACAACTTCAAATATTTAAACTGGGCTTGGAACTTGTGGGTTCCCAAAGCTTGATTTCGATATCCACTGTGGGGACTTAAAATTTGAGGATCAATATTACTTGATTCCATTTATTCCTCCAGGGTACGGTTAACATGTGGGATATCGAATACAGATTGAATTAATCTACATTCTGCAGATTAACAAAAGATCAGGATCAAGCATTGATCTTGATATGCACAATACAAAATTTTCTACCTCTGCTGTGAATATCTTTTAAAAATAATATGTTTTGTAGATATGGGTAAGAGCGTTGAAGAATTAACATCCAGGTAGAAGATTGGTTTATCTGGGCAAGAATTTAATGAGTTTGAGGTCAATGAACTATCTACCACTGGTTAAAAACCTGAGTCACTGATTCAAAATAAAAGATTCATAAGGATTTAAATCAGTGATCCAGGATTTGAACTGGCAATAGGTAGTTCAGCGACCTTTTCGGTCCTTGTACTGCAAAAATAAATACAGTGGAAATAATATCCATCAAATTATTCAGTTCTTTTGTTCAATGGTAAGAGAACTGAGATGACAGCATTGCTAACTTAAAAACAATATCTATCAGTTGTGATTGTGAAAGTGAATTCATGATAACAAAGGAATTGAGTTTTTGCTTTAAACTTGCAACTCCTATATATCTCCGCATCCTAATGTTCTTGACCTTCGATATTTCAAATTATGAATTCTGTTGGATCAAATAATTGAAGTCTAAAATATCAAATGAATACACCACCATGGGATGGGAAAAATTGCTGTTATGGCACAGACTCAATTCATTCCTTTACCAGTTACTTTGTTTGATAGTGAGAGAAGACAACTTTGGTTCCTGGCAAAATGGAAAGAGTTCTACTATCTAGAGACAAGAAGAATCAGTGTCACAAATGAAAGGTTTATTGTTATTCGCTAATATCCACCATATTTCTAATGCATAAAAGGGAATAGTGATTGATTTTGGAAAGGTTTGAAAGCCACATTGTATACAGAATAAGAAGCTTTATTTATGTTGGTTTGGCTCAAATCTTTTTTGAGATTTGGGCCATTTATTAATTAACATATCAAATTTTATATCTTTTCATTTCTGTCACCCATATCATTTTACTTAAGATCTTCAAAGCTAGAAAACCCCCAGAAAATTCAATAAATCTTTATTACATGTTGATTAGCATCTATGATACTTCTCAACCATTTATTTAATTTGGAATTGATACAAACAAACAAGTTATCTATTTTCAAAACAAATTACGGACAGAAATTTAATTTAATTTTAGGCATTGCAAAATTTTAAGATGTTATAACGATCCAGTGCTGAAACCCTTTATATGGTGCATCCAGCAATCACAAATACAAATAGTGTAAAGTGTACAAAAATATAAAAATCGCACCAGAAGAAAAAGCGTTTCATCCTAAAGTTCTGAAGAATTTCTAAATGTTAAGAATTTCAAGATGGATGAATGATTAATGCTATATAAATCTGAAAAAGAACGTTATACAAAAAAAATATTCAAACAATTCTGCTTTGTTCACAATATTTTTATTTTTTATTTTTAGTGTTGATTTTCCTCACAAGGGGACTCATTTTATACCGATACAACAGGAACAAACTTATCTTCAGTCAACTCAACAGCTCAAAACTAAAGAAGGATAATGATAACTTTTTATTAAAAATATTAAAGACCTTCTTACTTTTAAAAGGCTTTACAAAAATCTGAGATTTTCGCCGTATTTTGAAATTATAAATTTTTTACTTTGACACAAAGTAACAGGCCTAATAAAACAAAAAATGAAAAAGACTGGTTTCGTTGTTTTGCTAAATTGTTCTGGTTAAAATATGTTTACAATCTAGAGTTATAAGTCTGCATCAAAAGTAAAATAAATAAGGATTTTAGAACGTTTTTAATGTATATGATTTTTGTAGAGCCTTTGAATCAAAAAAAAACTTCGAATGTCTAGAAACGAACCTTATTATGCAAATAATTTTTAAAACTTTAAGACTGCATGTGACTGCATATGATAGCATAGTGCATATAACTATATATGACTGTGTATGACTGTATAGTGTATATGGCTGTATATGAATGACTGTATATGCTTGTATATGACTGCATATGACTGCATATGAGTGTATACGACTGTTGACTCCATATGACTGTACATGACTACATGACTGTGTATGACTGTACATGACAGTTTATGACTGCATATGACTGCATATGACTGTACATGACAGTATATGAATGTATATGTATATAACATAAGCATATTAAACTGTATATAACTGTATATTACTGTATTTAACTGTATTTAACTGTATTTAACTGTATTTAACTGTATTTAACTGTATTTAACTGTATTTAAGTGTATTTAACTGTATTTAACTGCATTTAACTGTATTTAACTGTATTTAACTGTATTAAACTGTATTAAACTGTATTAAACTGTATTAAACTGTATGTAACTGTATGTAACTGTATGTAACTGTATGTAACTGTATGTAACTGTATGTAACTGTATGTAACTGTATGTAACTGTATGTAACTGTATTGATATTTATTTCCCTGTCTGCGGTCCCCGGGCAACGTAAGTTCTCAGGTTGGCAATTTAAAGGGTTGACAAATGAATGCCTTATTTTACCTTAACCCGACTAAATCTATATTTTGACCTACTTCCGATCATTGGATTTCGTTTTTTATAGCTATGTGTAATGCCTTGACCAAAAGAAAACATATTGCATAATTTTTGCGAAGAAATTTGCATATATTTTTGCCCACATGCGTTTAAAGAGAAATTTAACATTTAAGTTTTCCTTGAATACAATTTTTTTTTTGTAAATTTTGCAAATATTTTGCATAATTAATACGCTGTGGTAAGGACTTCAGAAACATATTGTATAATTTATCATATTTCGCGCACATTTTGTTCTTGTAAATATTTGAAAATTTGCATATTTGCTATTTTTTTTGGCAGATTATTGAAGTAGAGCCAAAGGCCTTTCCAAAAATGTATCAATGTTATAGATTTGTATCACAATAAGAAAATAGAGAGGGGGTCAAGGGACCCCCCCCCCAGACTAAAGGATTAAAGGAGTTTGTGTAATTTTGGTAATTCATTCTGTATGTATGACTAGACCCAGTGCGTCTGCCTGCCTCACTGCAGATCATGACGTAATAGTTGCAGTTGAAGTTCATATTCTATGCAGGATCAAGATAGTTTAAAGGCAGTGTTAAGTTTGCTTTAATATGTTTTAGTATCGGATTTGGACGTACTTGCAATATTTTTTACATGCTTGTTTTGAGTATTGATGGGTTTTTTGATTTTGAACCGTTCAGGGCAGATTGTGTAGCATTATTAGTTTTTTTTGCCGATAAATTGAACATACTTTTTTGGCGCTTTGTGTTTGGACGATTTGTACTCCATCTTTTTACCCAAATTCTCTCCATTTATCATACAAGATTGTGTTTACAAAATACATATACAGGGTTACCCACGTAAAGGATGGGATTTCAGAGACGACTGTAGAGAATTTATTCAGCTTTCTTTCTTTAAGGTTGTGATTATCCTGTGTGGGTAACGCTGTATATTTATGAAGAGAGAGAGGGAGGTAGGCCTATTCCCGCTTCTAGTTCTACCGCCTTATCTCTAGTAAACATTAAACAGCTGATAGTATTACGAACACTAGACACTAGTATTGTTGCATTACACGGATGTACAGCACTACTGTACAATGAACATATTGTACAATTATTGTTCACTATAATTACGGCACAGTACAGTGTGCAAGCGTTCAATGTTCACATTTAAAATTTAACGTTCAAACTATATCTAAAGTCAGCTGGTGTATATTCATGTTTCGTGGGAAACCCTGTATTTAAAATAACAATTATAGAACTTGGTAACAAAGTTCTAAATGTGTAGGTTTTGAAAGAAAATCGCATGCCCTATGAATCAGGAAGGGATGGGGTAGACTGGATAGTCAATCATACTGAAGTACTTTTAAGGTTACAAACTTAAATTTTATGTTTTTTTTAACTTAGAAATTATAGCTTTTATATAAAATTACTGAACTCAATATCCTCAGTAGAAATTTGGCGTTTGAATTAAACGGTTTTGTGGTTGAGCCATTAAAACCATTTTACATCGAGATCTGATTTTTTTTACTGCACATTAAATATCAAACATGAATTCAATTCAAAACTGTGTGGTTGACAAAGTTTTTGCAAATATTAATCACTACTTTTGAATTCTTTTGTGTACTTTTTAAAAAATTTGAAAAGTTTATGTTTACTTGAATATTGGAATCACATCCTTATTTTTGTATCAACTATTTAAATTATTGATTTGCCTGTGAATTTATTCAAAGTAAAAGAATAATGAGTTGTCATTTTTAGCCACCAGGTGGTGCGCGCGAAAGTGGCGCCGTGGTTCCGGGGCCGGAAAGTGGCGCCTTTTCATTCCTAATTATTAAAAAATATATATTTTATGAAACAGTTAAAATAACACTTGCATTAAGGAATTTAAAGGATACAAATATTTGGATTAAAATAATACAATGACGGGAGTAATTCCAATTGATCTGAGTTTCAGAACAAGTCAAAGATTTGAAATATATTAAAAAAATATGATTCCTGGATTAACGATTTCTGAATATAAAATTACCTTCCGATAATTATAGAATGGTTTAAATTGATCAATATTTAGATTTATCATAAAGAAATTAAATGGACTCACAGCATAATTTCAAGCGACCCTTCATCTAGAGATGGCAATGCCCTATGTACAAGGGTACCCTGATATGCGCTGTCTTATCGAGTAAAGTTAATACTTTACTAAAACTGTTCATTTTCTTTGCAAAATGTAATTGCACATTTCTTCCTAATAAGAAAGGCTGGAGAAAGTATCAGAATTGAATTCTTTTCCAGTCAGGAAAACGACGTTATCTTACACATTTTTTATCAGATAAAGTTCATAAGTGAACTATTGCATTGTGATCTTTGCATGGGGGGTCACTTAAGCTTACAGTCCCTATAAAGGATCACAATAGAGACGGATAACTGCCTTCTAAAGTTTATCACAGTACAAAATTTCCAACCTCTTATAAAATATCCACCTAGTGGCAAGTATTGTTTATTGACGACTTAATGATTTTGTTTAGGACCTACAAAGATTTCTGGATAGAGTTAGCAAACGGGTAGGTTTTTACTCTCTATGGTTGATAAGCTAAAATTAAATAACATATGTTGATGTCGATCAAGGGTCGGTTTACGTTTGTGAACAAAAAACCTCATACCTGGAGGTAAATTTAAAACTAGGAAATCAAAAAACGCTATTTTTTGGCAAATCATTATCAAGAGTTACCACGTTCGTCTATTAATATTCTTGATAATCGCCTTACGAAGCAAGTATGCCTAATATTTAAAAATGATTTGTAAGACACTATTGAACATTTATAATAATAAGTAACCCTTGATACGGTTAAAACATCATATATCTCGTGTTTTTCAAGGATCAGTTTTTTTTATCTTAACACCTTTTTATTCAAAAAATAATTTAACAATGGATTTTCTGAAAAATACTGTCTACTAAGATTTATAATCGATAATTTAAAAAAGTCACTGATTTTAATGTCGTCGTTACATTCCAGATTATTGTAGTTTTACGTCTTTGTTAAGGAGAACTCCAGCAGATGAGCATTTGAATGGGTTAAAGTTGGACATAGTGGATGACAGAGGTAAGGCTTAAAGAGGGTGTTCGAAAAAAATGAAAGGGAGAATAGGATGATATCGAATTCCACTTAGATCGTTGTTGTGGTTGGTCTCTGGACATGGTATTTGTTCTACTAATTACTTTCCTAGATTGTATTTACACTTAATCGGCAGGTTTAGTACACAAATATTGTCAAGAAGCAAATAAACTAAGCATTTTTTTTAATCAACACACTTTTGTTAAAAAAAAATTCTATAAAGTAGAGATTTTGGCCCTCAATCAAGAAAACAAAAATACTTATTTGACACCCCTGGCATATTATTTGTAGCTATACCCCTTATGAAAAGGAAAGGGAAAAGAAAAAAGGAAAGGGAAAGGAAAAAGGGAAATGAAAAAGGGAGAGAAAAGGGAGAGAAAAGGGAGAGAAAAGGGAAAGAAAATGGAAAGAAAAGGGCATGAGTAGGGAAGGGTTGGTGTAGATAAACAGATAAAATTAAAATTAGTAGCGATTCATATTGAATTCAATTCTGTATCAGCCTATTAATTCTGTATCAGCCTATATACCCTTTTCATTTTTCGCACACACACTCTTAAAATAAAGCAATTGTTACAAATACAAATATTATCTAAATTTTCTATTTTTTAACAGGAGTATAGTGTTGCTAACTGTAAAACAGCCATCATCATTTTAAAATTCATTCTTTTCAAGATGACAATATTCTGTTCACATTCTGCTCTTGTGCTTCATAAAAAAATAGTTTTCTTATTGATAAAACATCATTTTTATATTGATTTTGTTTAGTGGTTGAGGAGAAATGGATTCGTTTAACCACCCCTCAGTTCAGGTTGAAAAAAGATTTAAAGGAAAAGATTATTTTCGTAAATATTTATATTTTCTGTTTTGCAGGATGGAAAAAAAGGGAACTGTTAAATTTGAATTCAAGGCATGGGGCAATATAAACATTATTTTCAAGTTTATGATTGCTGTTTATATAATTTTATTCTTAAATTAACTTTTGGGGACTGTAAACGTAATTTTAAGTGGAACTCCATTTTTTTAGTGGCATACAATTTTAATCGGAACCAACTATATTTGAGCCGCGTCTCAAATTCTTTAAATTGGGCCTCAGGAATCAATGAGAATTCCTTGTATGAATGATTTTTTTTATTGTGATTTCTGCTTAAATTGTGTTATAACATAGAAAAAAACGATATCTTCCTCATTGTTATTCAAAAGAGGTTTAATGGGTGAATAGGAGTGCCGGGCACTTTAATTACATTTATATTTCTAAACCTTAGATTTTTTTAAATCACACAAAAAGTGTTTATAAAGTAGAATTTTAAGTGAAATAAAATAATAATTATTAAAATTTGTCCTTTGACCTTAGGATATAGAGAATGGATGGTGGAAAAGAGGGATTCTTTTCGATTTTATGGAACTCAAGAAAATACGAGATTTGTCAATCTGAAGTATCGTTTGATTCTGGGCTAATATATAAATTTTTGGTAAAAAAATGTCAAAAACCAGACTGTTAGCTTTCCACCTCAAGTTTCTTTTGTTTATCAATCAATGCTTCGTTTGTAATTTTTTCGGTTTGTTTTGAAAATCAACGAAATCCGCACGTGAAATCATTGCAATACAGAATACAAATTTAAAAAAGAAACCAAAAGCACAAGAAATTGTATTAAAAAACCCATTTTAAACATGATAATTTCTATAAAAGAAAAAAATGGCATAAATCATCATATATTGACAGTTTTAATTCCTGAAGTAATCAATGTTTGTGCTTTCAAAACACCGGAAATATCATTTAGGTCAAACATTTTATTAAATTAATAAAAATTCCGTCTGTAAATATTTTGATCCGAATTGATGGTTGAAACAGTTTGGAAATGTATTAATCATGTAATGATGTAACAAAGGATTAAAAACGATGAATTGAATTGAGATTTATTAAATTTATATTATTTTTAACCTGTTTAATTTAAACCATATTAACACTTTTATTTTGGTTCGTTGTTAAAAAACATCAAATATAATTTTATTAAATGTTTGTATTCTTGTTTTGATGTGATGGTTATTTCTAGATATAATAAGCTTTTTAATGATATAAATTTTTTAAATAACAGGCTATTTTATTTGTATTTAAATTGAAAAAACAATTTTTAGAAAAATTCCAATTATTTTTGAGGAAATCCGGGAACCTTATGAAGTTCGATAGCATCGTTTATTATTATATATGCTGATATAACATTATATAGCACAATTTTTCTTTATACCAAGTCTTAATTTACTATAAAGGGACCATTTTAGAATATTCTTTGATCTCCAATAATGTTATTGTAATTATAAAACTTTTCCCAACCAGCTCGTTCATTGATAACCAGATAACTGTAGAATAAGAAGACGACATTAAATCATTTGATATTGTTAAGCAAATAGCTTTACTATCAAGTTATTAAATGACTAATAAGTGAAATGGAATCTGTTTTCACTGCACAATTGCTGAGCCTCATGTTCATTGAACTATTTAAAGTAAAATATCTTGAGTTCATTAGTCGTCTTCCTTTTCCAGAGTTTTCTGGTTACAATGTTCGACAGGTTTAAGTTATGTTTAAATTTTAGATTTTCTATTATTCAATAGAATAAATATTTTATTTATAAACTACTTTACGTGTAAAAAGTGAGACCTTACATCTTAACGAAGTCTTGACGTTCTCTCGCTCCGGCTGTTATCCATGTACGTAAAAAATGATTAATTGCTTAATAAATATGCAATAAAAATATATGTATATATATATATATATATATATTTTAACCTTTCTAGAGTTCATATGCATTTTGATGGAGTTATAAACCGGAATACACTGCTTACCTTGTTGGTCGCTTTACATAGCACCAATTATAAATATATTTTCTTTATCCAGTTGGTCGCTTTGCATAGCAGTAACTAATGTACTGTTCTACTCTCTTTAGTTTTTCCATCAAGTTAGGAATTTGAGTTGTCTAATAAATCTCCGAATAGAAAGGTTCTACATCACGTTAAACTAAAGTAAATTGCACTTCAGATGCAAATCTTACAAGTTTTTTATCTTAAATTTTGTAACCAGACAAATGTGTCCCTGTAAATACAATTTAAACTACAGGGTGTTCCAGTAAGTATAATTTAAACTGCAGGGTGTCCCAGTAAATATAGTTTATAATACAGGGTGTCCCAGTAAGTATAGTTTATAATACAGGGTGTCCAAGTAAGTAAAGTTTATAATACAGGGTGTCCCAGTAAGTATAGTTTATACTACAAGGTGTCCCATTAAATAACGTTTGAACTACAGGGTGTCTCATTAAATATAGTTTATACTACAACGTGTCCAATTAATTAAAGTTTAAAATACAGGGTGTCCCACTAAAAACCGTAAAGGGTGTCCCAGTAAATATAGTTTACACTACTGAGTGTCCCAGTAAATATAGTTTAAACTACAAAGTGACCTGTAAATATAGTTTATACTACTGGGTGTTCCGGTAAATATGGTTTATACTGCTGGGTGTTTCGGTAAATATAGTTTATACTACTGGGTGTTCCAGTAAATATAGTTTATACTACAGGTTGTCCTAGTAAATATTGTTAATACTACAGGATGTCCTACGAAAAACGACAAATGAGGGACATCTTAAAAAGATAACCTTTTTAGCTTTTTAATTACGAGTCCACAAAAAAATTTAGTTCAATTGGTCCAGTCGTTTGTATTAAGTCTTAAAAAGTATATTCTGTGAATCCTAAAAAGACCAAAATATTAATTAAACGATCAAATTTGAATCTAAGAAGAAGTCTCTGCTGAAGTTCCAGATCAAGAGCCAAGGGAATTTATTGGTCTTGTTTCAAAAATGATTTACGAATGAATATTTAAAGGCGCGAAATTTCTTTTTTTACAGTGGATTCGCATTTGAACCATTGATCATTTGAATTATTGATCGTTGGAACTATTGATCGTTTGAACTATTGTACATTCTTCCCGCTGATAATGACTTAATTTCAGGAAGTTCAAACAACACATTATTTAGACATTTAAACACATTAAATATGCAGCTTAAAATTTTTAAATTTCATGAAAGAAATATAGGTCAAACAATCGTCGCAAAAAATTTAAATGATCAAAAATTATTTCTGTAATAAATAAACCTCTTTATATCATTCAAATTCCAGACGTAAATCCAAGGAATATCAAGGTCAAATATTTGCCCCCTCCTCTGTCAAGGGTTAATGCAAAGGCTTCACTATCGATCCCAGTACCAGTTTCATAAACTATCCAATTCTAGTGATTGATATAGTTTAATGTCTATCTCTCAGAGTATAAATGAATGGAATTTATCAGTTTATCTTTATTGGTATAAATGTATCTGTTAAAGTTTATTTCTTTCTTATTACATCTTGTTCAGATATTCATAATTCTCTGGTGTAATTAAGCAGCTTCCTTAATTCCTGTTCAGAATCTAACTAGGAAGCTCCCTCAAATATCTCGTTCAGCTGCTCCAGTTCAGTATCTTCTATACTGTAATCTTGGATAATACTGTAGCTGCTTCTAATGTCTCAAATCCAACTGCTCTTAGAGTCTTTGCTATGTCAGCTGTATAATACTGGAGCTGCTCCTTGAATCCCTGATATTGTGGTTGCGGAGATGCTCCTACCATCTGAGATGCTCCTACTAGATGTGTCCAAGTTGTCCACACTTTCCCCAGATTAGGAGATAAGTCCCTGTCAGCCTAGTCCTCTTTATACATTATCGCGGGTAGTCCAGACAGGCCGGTACTAGAGTAGTTAAACTAGCTGGACTGGAGTAGAACCTCATTGTCTTTTATTTATTATTTTCTCTATATCTCCAGTGGACCTCTTATTAGGCCGAGCTCAAGTATTTAGAGTAGTTTAACTAGCTGTAGATCAGAAGAGTCTCTGTTACTCTGGTTGCGAGTATCTAGAGTAGTTGAACTAGCCGTAGCTTGGAAGAATCTCTGATACTCTGGTTGCGAGTATTACTGTATTACGAGTATTGTTACAGGGAAACTCTGAGGGGGAGCACCATATTTTAGTTACAGCATTATTTAAAAAAAAAATTATAATATTATTTTTACCATCAGTATTTATCTATAATATTTCATAGTTTATTTTTTGTTCACAAACTGTAATGTATCGCATGAGGGAGGGGTGCTGGGTCACCATGAGCCCCGTAAAATAATCCCCAAGCCTCCGTATTTCCAGAATAGTATAAAAAATAAACGATAAAAAGATATTTGTAAAAGAAATGAATAACATTTTTTTAAATATTTAATCTTTAGATAGTTTCGCGGGGTTCATGCGTCCCTGCATCCCCTCCCTAATCGGATTTCCATATGATTAATTATCATAAATCAATGTGTCAAAATATTATGAAAATGGAAAAAGAATGTAAACCCCCCCCCCCCCCTGTAAAACCTGCAACCGTCCAACGGGCTTCGCGACAATTATTGGTTATTGCCATGAAACAACTAGTTATTGCATACCAAATAGATAATCAAGTAGCACAGGTGGCAACAGATTAATGGATCAATTCGACATCACAAGTGTTAAATATGACAAATAAAACAAAATTTTCTCAAATTAGTTGACATGCTTTCCAATATTAGATAAAAATATGAAAAAAACAGACAACAAAGACGCATAAAACTGCACTTATTTTAATGTAAGATACGCACTTTATTCTAAAATTGTCACTATTATTTATAATTTTGTTGGATACAAAAATTAAGTTGACACTTGTGACGTAAGAATACAGTTGTACTGAGTGTACAAATTCTACATTGCCATCTATTGTACTAGAATCCAAATAGGTTGTCAAGTACAATAGACGGCAACACAGAATGCGTACACTTTCAGTACAGCTGTTTAAACGTCATAAGTGTCAACTCAAATTTT